CCCTCTGGTCTGTCTAAAACTATTATGATTTATTATCAAATTTTCGTGCAGGCAAATTACGGGGCCTTACGTCCGCGTCAGGAAACGTTGTTCTCTCTCTCTCTTACACACGGTGTTATTCGCCATCAGATAAGGATGCAGGTACATTGTGTTTCCTTCAAATTCTTACGGCGAGGAAGAAATAATTTATGTGATATTTTTTTCTAATTAACTCGCAGGAAAAATAATTAGCTGGATTAACATGTTACGTATAGCCGAACTTTTTGTTTCGCTCCACCACTGTAACAAATTATAACGGTGTTGAATCTGAAAAATACAACATTATCTAGAAAGATTTCATATCAAATGTTTAGATGCAGCGTTTTTATAATTCACGTAATTAATTCCAACACAATTCTCGTTGTTAAGACCATCTGTTAAGTAGACGTGTAGATTCTGTTAAGTAGAAGTATAATTGAGGTTAAAAATTGAAGCGTAGCACTGTGTAAAAGATGATTTTTAGGATTGCCTTTTCAAATAATCACAACAGCTTACTATAACAAAATGTTTGAAATAGTGCAACGATAAATGTTCATGACAACTGTCTGCATTATACATAAGGTCTGCCACCGTCCGAAATTTACATACAAACATAGTTTTCGCGTTCACGCTGCCACCGAGTTTATGCAGCGGTCGCTTCCAGGTGATATCAAAAAGAATTGTTATGTACGTTTGTGCGTGATAGGTACGCTTTATGGGGGAAAATGCGCCGAATATACGAGTACGTGAATCCAACAGGAGATTCCGCGAGGACACTGAAATATTCCGATAAAAGATTTTATCGCCTTCCTAAGTTACATTTAATGATGTCACCACCAGCAAACTTATGTTGGTTATTTCAGAGAAGATAAACAGTCTTCGCAATATATGGTTTTCACTCTATTTAGACATAATAAAAAAAATATTTCGAACATATGTGAAGTCCGCCAATCCGCAGTGGGGCCACGTGGTGGACTACGCTCTAATACCCTTTGTATATAGGAAGCCATTGCCCAGCAGTGGGACATGTATAGGCTGTTACATTACAAAACACGTGTATCCTTATGTAGAAAGTAAAACATAGAGTTTATGTTGACCAAGACTGACAACTGCGAGTCGGAATCACGCACGAAGAGTTCCGTACTATTATCTTTAAAAACGGCAAAAAAAATCTTGTCTGTTGTATGGAAGCCCGCCCCACTTAAATATTTTTTATACCGTTTTTAGTATTTTGTTATAGCGGCAACAGAAATACATCATTTGTGAAAATTTCAACTATCTATCACGGATTAGGAGATACTGCTTGGTGACAGACGGACAGACATATAGACAGCGGAGCCTTAGTAATAGGGTTCCGTTTCACGGGTCCCTTTGGTAAACCCTAAAACTGACCATGTTGAAAACGTTGATTGTAATAATAACAGTTATAAGGGATAATTGTAATGATGTTTGCAGTTTCATAACTGATTAACATTTACAGAAAACAATATGTGAGAACAGATTCTAATATTTAGCTCCAATGATTAAAAAACCAAAGAAATGACATTTATCAAAAGAAAGTAAATTATTATAAAGAAGATTTTGGACATAGAATCAAATAGCAAGTATGTCATACCTTCTTGATAAAAACATGTCATAAGTAAAAGAGCAGAAATTCAGTATTGAAATTAGTCTTACAGAATTCAAATCTAAATCTATTTTATTATATTTCTGCATTTAGATATATTAATGGAATGTTTTTTTTTTCGGCTCCGAATCTTGGTCGATTCGCGCAATGGACCGGAAAAAAATCGAAGCGTTTGAAATGTGGTGTTGGAGAAGAATGTTGCGCATACCGTGGACAGCGAAACGCACCATCAAGTCCATTCTTGACCAACTAGACATTAAGACTAGGCTCTCCACAATTTACTATCAACGAATCTTAATATATTTTGTTCACATCGCACTTGGGCAGCCAGATAATTTTGAAAAAGTAGTTGTAGTTGGGAAAGTGGATGGCAAAAGAGCACCTGGGCGATCACCTACCCGTCGGCCTGATCAAGTGAAACTTGTAACCAGGCTTCCTGTTTCCACTGCCTTGAAGAAGGCTGAAGACAGAGTTGTGGAAGCATCTCGTCACCGATTCTCTCAAAAATTTTCAGGACGGACACGACCTTCAGTAAGACCACGAAGAAGGAGAACAATGGAATGTTAATAGCTAATGGCATTGCGGTCATGAAAATAAAAAATGGACACATACTGGAAGAAAAATAGGAAACTATCGCATGATAACTTATTTATTGCAAAGCCATCGTCATTGAATACATTACTAAACAAACAGAACGTCTTGGCAAGGTCTGGACAGGAAAGTGAGGACAGACCGTTATAGACCTAGCCTAATGACTAGGCACAACCTTCAATAGATACAGGAAAGGATTCATAATTGTTTATGATACAACTTAAAATGATTCAACTTAAAACTGATTTCTTGCATCACAAACAAGACCTTTCTTAAAGAATAAAAAATATACATAGTTGGAAACGTGACAAAATAAACACCTAATTATTATCAATAGTCATTACCTAAATGTCTTTGATTGTCACAGTAGCTAAAAAAGTACAGAATGAAGTCGTTTCTAGAATGTTCTTATGATGCGATTTAGAGCAAAAAACTACTTCTCTTCTACTATCTCTTTGTGTGGTAATAGTAATCTATTTTTAACATAACATTATAAGGGGCATAATAAGCTGGATGAAAATTGGGTGGCATAAGTAAGTCATGACTACCAGGGGTAAGGTATGAAAGCTAACTTATTACCATATCTATATGTACATAGTTTGTAACGGTTTGCACTCATGAATATTCGGCCAGCCGCCGCCACCTCCGCGCAGATATCGCGCGTGGCGAAGCGGAAGAGACCTCCGACAAAGGTCTGTGACAATGAACCCAGATACGCGGCGTAGGGCTGCTGGATATATCGCTGAAACATTACCAAGCATCGATTTCTAGAGTTTAAATAATATTTAACGACCGCCAACCCTAATGCTTAATGCAGAAAACAATAAAGCTCCAAATGTTTAGACATTTCAACTTGTATCAAGCTTGAATGTTAACGTTATGTTAGCTTAAACCCATCAACGATTTAGACAAAGCCAAAAAATTGACTTAGTGTCGGCGAGACAGATATTAATTGAACTGTGAGGTGCAAAGTCTTTACTCGACGTCAAATAATGAAACGCTGAATATTCTACTGGAAAATTTGCTGAAAACTATTAAATTACAAACTGAAATTATACATTTATGCAACATCATTGTATCAAGCATGGATATGAATATAATTTATAATAATAATATTATTAATGTTAGTTTAGTGTTTTCATTTCTTACTTTCATCTCAGTGTTTTAATTAATTAAATCTATTCAATTATCGTGGAACACTCGATTGGAAGGAAGCTTCTTTTACAGTGTATTATTGTTATTGAATTTTAAAAGTATTATATTTTCGTGACGTTTCGGCGTGTCGGATGATTCTTAAACTTTTTTTCGCCATCTGCCAAATCCGTAACGCGCGATAAGGAATTTCGTTCCAAAAATGTTGTCAGTAAAAGACTTACACGGCAGATTTTTGTATTATTCTCGATAGTTTAGTACTTATGCTTACTTAGTCCTTAGCAAGAATTATTCAACATCCCATTTAATACTTAAATTTTAAAGTAAATAAATCTGAATGAAAACGTATGAAGGGGCAGCCCTATCGGGCGGCGCGTCCGACACACCGCCCGGACACGTTTCAGGATCATGAATTATGGCGCGAGCCGATGTGACTTTTCAATTTGAAATCATCAACCTGGAATTAATTTCATTTTTGAAAGCCATTATTTCTGTTATCTCCCGATGTTGTGCAATATGCGAGCGCCGCTTTATTGTTGTGACGGGAATATTTTGCAATGTCGCGTTGGTTTATGCGGGGACGGTGTTTCAATTGCGAGTTTTCATCTGGACTCCTCATCTGCGCATTTGGACGGTTATTATTTCATTCGACCTATTAAGCTTCTGTGGTAAAGTTGCAATGTGAGATTTCAATGTGAAATGTAATAATTGAATGATGCAGTAAACTAGTAAAGCAGTAACTAGTTTACTCGTTTGTACTGATTCTTTGACACGAAAGAAAAATTTAGTTCGATTTGTTTACATTAAAATCTCTCTGTCTTTGTCAAATTTGTTACACGATTTATTTCGAAAGTCGTCAGAAAAATACAAGGCATTCGAAAATCGAACGGGGATGTACAAATATTTATACCTTCCGGGATCGTCGCGTAACATTCGTCTGTAATTCACAAATCTGTCAGTGTCGGATACCCACATAGTCCCGGCGCAACTATTCATAGTCGCAGATCCCGTTTTCCACCGTTGCCGGCGTTGACGAAAGCCGAGCAGAAATAGACGCCGTGACTATAAATTCCGTCCGAAATAAAAGCCGAATGTTTATTCCTGAAAAAAAAAACACGCGACGAGTTTTCGTTGTCATAGCGGAGGGCGTTCGGAAAAAATCCTCGAGAATCGCCTAGGCGCGGCCGTTGACCCAAAATTCCTTCTGTTATTTACTGCTGTCTAATTTGAATTTTTATGTTGAATACACTCATGGTGACGTGAGAATCGCGCGATACGCTCTGTATATCTCAGTTTTCTACGTCCGCTAAAATTTATTCCGTCCAAATGTACGACTAATTTTAATATCAATTCGTAGCAACTTATTGATATTGCTGTTTCGCGATTTATTCCCGTTAATTTTTTACTTTTAGCTAAGCATCAAATAACAAAAAAGTAATGCAGTTAATAATTCAACACAAACAATTGCTCTTGTTGTACGCGTTAGACGACGTACGTAATATAATAATGTTCCAAAACACCCGATGCGAGATTGTACATACGGAATACAACGCGAAGGTATCCTGAAATCCCTAAAGAGGAACCTTATAACAAAGCTAATATTAGACAATCATTTCCTGTCAAAAGGGTGGCGCCTCCACCAAGAGCGGGCGGGGAGGTTGGAAGACCACCTCGCCCCTCCAGATTCCGCAGCCGCGGTGTTCGAGTGTGAATCTGAAATCTCATTTTTTTGCTCGCCGCGTGATGAATGGATTTTTAATATCCTCTGCAGCGGTCTGGGGACGAAGTACTTTGATGGAAGACGCCGCCGCGTCTCACTCGGTTTTTGCGCTTGCACGGCGCGCCGCGGCATTTAAAAACGTGATTTTCCCGCGTCGATTAGCTGTGTGTTTTTTCAGTCGTGTTAACAACTGACGCGTCACTCGAATATAAAAAGTGGATCGGCGGGGAACGAACGTCCGCGTCGTGTCAAAAGTACGGCGCAGGCCAACAAGACATCAGCATCCGTGGACGTCTCAATACACGCCAGCCCGCGGTCCGCAAAAAACCCACCGTCCGTTCTCACAGCACGACTCTATTACAACTCCGCCGCGGATAAATAAAACATGACGGGCCCTTCTCACGTATCTATATGCACATAGTTATACGGCCGCACACATGTGAGCGCGGATGTTGCCAGATCTCGGATCTCGTATCTGATTTGAGACGCTTTCACCCGCTTCGGTTTTGAACGCGCCCGCGTTTGTATCACGCGATATTATTTTTTTTTTCAATAACACCCATTACGGAACCTACTCGCAGGTCACGGCTTGCAAGAAGTTTTAAAATCCGCCAACTGCGTATTCAACAAATGCACAGCAACAAATTACGTCGCGTAGCTTTTAAATTAGCGAAACGGAAGGAGCGCTACGGGAATTACTAATTTCAGACAGAGAAACAACCGAATTGCACAATAATATGAAGAGATTTCAGTTAATATGAAAAGAGAATAAATTATTTACCAAGAAGTGCTTAACTTTTGTTCTTTTTTGTCAAATTTGACTTTATCCGGTCAGAAGGACCAGATTTCTTTTAACGAACAAATTGGCATAGGCGCGTTTAGTACGACGAAAACGTAGCGCTTTTCGGGGTCAGGCCACCGGGTGCGCCCGCTACGAAATCAGTATTGGTAGCACGCAGAAGAGTTATAAAATTAGAAAGGCGGTGTGTCAGTGCAAAGAAAACACAGCGCCTACATGTTGCGTCTTGTTGCGATTAAAATTTCTGATATTTTAAAGGCGCTTGGCTCTAAAAAACTCGACTCGTGTCTGCCCGGGCTGCGTCATGTCCGAGCGATCTGGTTTTATAATCAATAACATGACTCCTAGCGCCTACGGTGTGATACCGTTTTTGTCGTGCTACGTATCGGATGCGGGATTTCAATCTACATATTTTAATTAATGCAATTTGTAGAGTTGATTGGGCGCTTGTAATTGCGAATACAAATGAGAATACGTATAATGAACGTGGTATTCGATTTAAGATTAAAAAGGAATGTTATGCTCAAGGAGAGTAACACCGTGCCTATACGCTATAAAATTGGACCACATTTTAAATACGTGTTACGGAATAATTTCTTTTGATATTAGGACTAAAGCTCAGAAAGTGCAACATAAAAACACAGTGATGAGACTAGTTTATATTTTAAAATAATGTATCGATGTTGATATTTCAAAATAAACTCGCAACAATACACGATAGCACACAGCGAACTCTACGACATTAAGATGCCTTAGACATTTTTTGTCTCGTCTCCCCATTATATTATGCGTGCTTGACTGTGTGTGGCGGTGTGCATAGATGAGCTAATAGTCGAGCGACTCTTGCGCAGACCACAATAAAAACATGTGACGGAGCATCGACGGTACATTAACGCGCCCGCCATACTTGGCACCAGGCTAACTCCGCCCGCTGGCAACTGGCACGCTACGAGAACGATAGAGCTGCAAAAACCGGTCTCTACATTATCTATCGATATAATAGATATTAAACTCGTTAGATATATATGAGCGAGTTAATTCAATATCTATCTTTTTAATTAATATAATGAATTATAGTACTTAGGATGTAAGTAGTCTCGAATAAAAAAGTTTGTCCACTTCGGCTTGATGTAGATATTCTTACAGTTTACTTTGTTTGCGAAATTTTGTATGGTGTTGAGTAATACAATTAATACAATTGAAGATTCACGAAAAGATAATTACGTTTACCTATTTAAAGATAGATATATTAAAACAAAGCAATAGGTAAGAGATACTTTACAAACTTTTAATAAAGTTAATAATTACGACAAGTAATACTTTTTATTGATTCAACGATATTTACAAATAATCGACTTCACTATTCGCGCCGTGAACTGTTAAGACGAACGCCGTGGCGACGCTCTCTTTCTATTATCGCTTTTCGAATTTCGTCCACAAGACAGATGGTAACAGCGGCTGGGAATTCGCGATACAATGGCGCCCACAAGCCCACAAGTGATCCCTGGCACGGACGCGACCACGCGGCTGTTGCCTTACTTCAATACGGTTGGCACCCAATAACTTTCCTAGCTTCGCACCGGGCAAAATAAATATCGCTCTAGAATTAATAGACGCCCGCGCGCGGCTGAAAAATTGAAACAATAGGTGAAAACACGTTAAATTACATCGCCCACGACACGGGACCAAATCTAATTATGTGTCAGGCATTTGTAATCTAGTGTCGAGAAAAAAACCAGCAGAGTGGGCTTCGATCAGAGCGCTGGTACGCGAAAATACCGACCATTTTTTCATGGGTCTCGCTTACAAACAGTTGAATACAATCGAATGAAGGGGTGGTGAGGCTAAGTGTACTACCTATGACTGATTCTTGTATCGTTAGCATAATCGTCCGTTTGTATTCAACGAGGCTGGCGACAATCGAGGTGTCGGAAACGCGATCCATTATGCCCAACAGAAAAGGCGATGTTATGACAGTACCCGTGCGAGTGGTGCCACATTTTGTCAGCGGAGGACGTGGTGCGCGTCGAAGAATATTTATTTATTTATAACACCGAGGGGCTGTAAATTAGCGGTGAATATACGGCGCGGCTGTTGGAGTGGTCGCGCGGTTTATTTTCGTCGCGCGCGCACGATTTGAGCAAACGCCTGTTAGGAATCGAAGCTGATGTAGGGCTGGGTGACGCCTTCATTGTGCGTATATCGCGAAGGGCTAATTAAAATAACGGACGGCGCTCCTGGTGGTGCGGATGACTTATGGTGGACTCCTCGATTTTTGGCGCGTGCCGTCCATCGTATTTCAGCGCGAGCGGCCAATTAGCGATTCTCGACAAGGATTGTTTAAAACAAAGCACATTCGCATTTTAAAAGATTGGGTATGGATAACGGTCAACCACTTCTTCATATTTTGATACAAATTTTCCGCTTTCCTTTACTTTATAACTAATGAGGGATTCTGTGTCAGGATTTTACAGTAATAAGTGAGATTTTAATGCGCACCATTGCTTAACAATTTCATCGCATTACATCTAAATTAATCTTTTAAAGAAATGATTATTGATTGAAAATTTACAAGATTTTAAATATCGAAACAATCACAAAATGTACTGAAAAAAAAAATGTTTTGACAATTATATTACAGCTATGTAAAAATGTCTTACCAGTTTCACAACAAGAATGTCCACAGATGGTTTTTATTTCGCAATACAACTAATATCGTGCCCATATCTGAGTCACGGAAACAGTATTTGCGCCCACTTAATATTATCCAACATACGTGACCTTAATCCTTTTTGATCTAGCTTTCGCTTGAGATATCTTTGCGTCGACGTTGTTATGATTAAATAAAACTATGGGCGATTGCGTACTACGCGTTGTTGTTTATGGATTCTTCTCGCGTGGTACTTCCAAAATGGTGCCAGAATTTTTTCCTAACATATTTATATACACATATCCTTACTAATACTATAAATGCGAAAGTTTGTATGTATGGATGGATGTTTGTTACTCTTTCACGCAAATACTACTGAATGGATTTTAATGAAACTTTACAATAATATAGCTTATACATCAAAATAAAACATAGGCTATAATTTATATACATATTTTATGTATATCTGTCTTTTTGTCTGAATGTTACGTCTTCAGCCTATTCTACGCAACGTAGTCGCTGGCAGCAGCTAGTAATATTATATGTTGATTTTCACGGTATTCTTATGTTATGTTTCATTATCGTAATTAATAAATCAGAATCAACACTAGGTTTATTTCAAACTGGCTGTACTGAGTGAACACGTTTAAATTGCAAAACGAAAGAGAAAAACAGTTGAGTATACTGGGGAATACAGAAGTTAAGAAGACATTTGTTTCGAGATCTCCTTACGATATTTTATGAACTAGCGTAAGTTTGGGCCAGGAGATGTTAGAGCCGTTTTTATTTAGTTATAAACTCAACAATAATTTCATTAGAGACAGTTTATTTGTGATGATGACGTACGTCATGCAGAATTCGGTCACGGTGCCGCCTTCCACTTAGCGTCTGATGATGTCAAAGCGCGCAGAAATTATGGTGCCTTTAATATCAGAGGAGACATGTGAACATCATCCCTAAACTGATAGTAGATATATTAGCATACACAACTACAACGCAAATTAGATGAAAAATATTTCAGTTATTTTGTCTAATTTCAAATTAATTATTACTAGACATGTATTTGTTCAGATACCCGAAATTTTTACTTAAAAAATTGCCGAAACTACAAATGTTACTCTGTATATGCTTACAAAAGAAATGACAGAACGAAAGACATTATTACCAATTCATGAAATTAACTCATGTGTTTATATACGAATTGATATACTTATGATTGTATATATAATACCATATGTCTAAAGTTTATGATCGAAGGATTACCAAAACTTTTAAACAAAACATTTTACTCAGATACGGTTATTGTAACATGCATTGCATGCATTAGACTCTAACATTGTTCTTTCATTTTTCTTGCATTGCTACGAAGGCTGCATTAGACTCTAACATAGTAGAAACGTAAGGTACGTTTCTACTATGTTAGAGTCTAATGCAGCCTTCGTAGCAATGCAAGAAAAATGAAAGAAAAATTCCTTTAATTCGCAAAAAGACACACAAATAGAAACATAAACGTTAATGATGTCACAGATATTAAACAAATTGCTGAATTATAGGTTCGAGCGCAAAAAGCGAGAATTTCAATTGCCTGAGGTCCATTGCCTCTAAAAAGGGCGACGAATGCTATTTATGTGTTACCGAAGAGCGTTCGACGTCGCAATGTTGCCGAAGTACGATGGAGTAATT